CATAAAAATATGAATCTTCCTACTCATTGGTTTAAGCCAGCAAAGCACTGCATGTACTGGGGAGTTATTTGCTGATTATAGCAATTAACCATCTGCTCCGCTGTGTTTAAATGTTAGGATCATAATTTGCTTCGATTTTAACATCAGAACAAAGTAATAATAGTGCGTGTTTCTCTGGGAAGCAGAGAAACCCGGGCTTTCTTACCACTGTATCTCCAGCAAAGACTGTCCTTGCTGCTACTTCATATTTCACGCCGTCGACTCTTACAATGTAGAACATTTTTTTGTAAAAGAATAATCACTGGAGGGGAGCTGGAGGGTAAGCGTGGTGAGAAAATGTTGGTTCGTTCCTATTTGGAAAAAGTCTCAGCGGCGTATACGATGAATTCTTTCCATGTGAAAGACTGTCCTTTTTATTTCCCTGCTACAGAAAAATACTGTAATTATGTTGTAAGATACATCCTTCATGTAGGATGTATCATTCATTAAAGCCTCCTGCTAAAATATAATAACGTGCTTTTGCTTATTTACAAGTTTTACACCCAGAAAGTGGATTGAGATTGAGAAAAACATCCCCTATGAGCTCTGTTGCCCTTTTCCTCAGTGATATCAAAGACATTGTATCATAATATAAAATACCAGTAATATTGCACCTGTATCCTTGCATGCAAGTCAGGCCTGAGGACAGCAGGCGTGCACACTGTTGGAGGTATGCGTTGAAATGTGAAAGGGCAATTTCAGAGCTGTCACGTTGTCTCTCCAAGATAGGTTCAATTTTGTACTCAGCCTGGAACCATTGTTGTTTTTGTGTCAAAGAAAGCAGAAGCACCATGGAAACTCTTTTTATAAGGATATGGAGTAATTCTTACATCTCCTTTTGTAAATTTGCCTTTCCGGACGAAACAGACAAAAATGAATCTGACAGAAATATGCGGAGCCTGTGACTTCAACACATGATTTGGGATGTCAGTATTCAGTTAGCAGAATGCCACACAACAAAAAAATATATACTGTACATATACTGTTGATTTGGAGATGTTAAGTAATATAGACGATTGTTCAAGAGGAGCTTGAGCCACTGCAAGTTCAACTACAAGACATTCTACAACAATTTATCAACCAGGCTGAAGTCGTAATTTGTGTTGTTGTCAATTGTGCGAGCGTTTGCAAGGTAAGTCTCGTCCCTTCTTCAGGGCGGATCTTACAAATGATACATAGGCTACCATGGAACCTGTGGTAAATATCCCAAAATACCACAGAACTACCAGAGGACCTCACCTTCGGAGGAACGTGAGGTACCTGTCAACACCATTTCCTTAGTCTTGTTAAACTTGAGCTAATTGCCAACGACATGCTGATGTTCAGCGAGTATAATTTTTTTACCATGACCACCATGTTTACTCTTAGCTTTGCGAGTTAGCGTGCTAACATTTGTTAATTACAATAAAACATAAGGTACGGCTGAGGATGATGGGAATGTCATTAGTTCTGCAGGCAATTGGTCATGAACAAAGGACTGGACAGATACAAAAAAATTGACCTGATGGTGGAGCTATACAGGAGATGGACGGGCGAGGTCAGGGGATCACAAAAGTCATTATGATACACCGTCTGGGAAAAATGAACGTCATTACAAAATTGAATGGCAATCCATCTCTTGCTTGAGATATTTCAGTGGGAACCAAAGTGGTGGCCCGACTGAGATTACAGAACCACACCACGATGGTCTGATTCATAAAAGATATGTGAAAGTCAAAATCTAAATTTGGAGATGGTAAGCAACGACTCAAAGTAGAAACGATTGCTCGGTTGAGCAACTGCAGTCTCTGTAAGGGTAAATGGGTGTAGCTTGTTCAAAATCTCTACACATAAGAAAAACTGCAGTTGTATAGCTATGTGATGGACAGACGGAGACGCAGGCCTTATATTATCTTACCCTTCTCATGAAAAAGGTATAAACTCTTCACACTCGCCTGGGCAGGCTTCATTTCCATCACTGAGGAAATGTGACTGAGTGCATTACTGAACAGGAGCCTTCCAATGTGACAGATTTGAGGAGAGGCAGCTCTTGCATCTTTAACAGCCATCTAATTTCTTTTTCATGAGGCGGGTTATTTTAAGTTCAAATTGAAGATATTTGCTGAAGGGAGGAAAGAGCTGTAAGGTCTGTGTTTGTCTTGTGTTTCTGAAAGGAGCTGTCTTTAACATTGTGAGCATTAATATAGCAGCTATAACTATTGTTCCATGTACAGATGTAGTGGAGTAATGTCTACCTGAGCAGAGAATAAAGTCACGCTCCCTCTGTGTGGGTTGTTATCCGAACTTCTTTTTGCCTTGTTTGCAGAGCCGGGCCGGCCGCGTGTGCTTTTAGTGCACGTTGGTGCATTTAGCTGCTCTGCACTGCTCTCATAGTTACAGCTGATAACTCCATCTTGTCAAACAGCGTCCTAACGAAAGCGTAGCACCAGCCCTCTGGTTCCTCCTCAGGTAAACACTGTTGGCTCTTTCAGCAGTTTGTAGTGTTCGCGCTGTTAGCTGCCAGCTGAGGTTATACCATGTTGAGACCCGTTGATAGGCAATCGAAATGCTCCCAATCTCTTATTTTGCACCTTTTCATTTATGTTTAAGTGGACACAAGACTCTCTTGTAACTTATTACTTGAATCCTCTTTGATTTTGTTTAAGGACTTTGACTCAACCATTATTTTTCCAGAATGCAATCCCAGTACACATTCGGCACCTGTAGAAGTCCTTTAGATTAAATCTTGTTCAATAACATATAAAAATGTGGTTCTTTTGTTAGGTGGCACAATGTTGCACTCCCCAGTAGGTGGCAGAATAAACTGTAATGACCCATGTAAGCTTCAATATTTGCAGCTGTAGTCTGAACGGTGACACACATACACACAGAAGAAATTCAGACACTTGCTGATGTTGTGAGCTGTAGGTTTATTGGAAGTTTTGTTGTATTTAACGTTAAAGGTCACAGCGAACGCTAACAGAGATTGTTGATTAACCCATGATGCTTTTGTAAATTTGCATTCAGACCTCATGATTTCTCTGTGAGACTTTCAGACCACCAGACAGGTACCATACATGCAAGCTCCACCCAGCATGCCCGTCTGTCCTTCTGTCTACTGTCAAACAAACACTCACGTGTACATCAACACATACTGATTCCTTTACAAATGCACATGCAGAGTATTTGAACCCAGATGCATGTTTGTTCTTAAATGTGAATCCCTTAGACACGCATGCAGCTGTTTATTAGATGTTTTTTTCCTCTCAGTCAGAGCTGCAGGTTTCAGAGCCATGATGAAGTAAAGTAATGCTTCGGTCGCTCTTGATCTTATCACATGCTAATCGGCGCAACACTCCTCAGCGTGTGAAGAACACAGGATTCAAACCACTTCAGATCCCTTTTAATGAGCCAACAGTGTCAAGGAACACATACACATGTTCCATCTTGGCTTCCTTCTCATGACCTTTGCCATCATCCTCCCACGGGTTCTTCACATCTAAATATTGAGTGTGTCAGATGCATAAAGATGATGGATTACCAGACACCAGATTATTAAATACATCCATTCCAGTACGGTTTTCAAGCTAACTTCAGTTCTTCTAGTTTTTGTCTTCTTTTTTTTAAGCAACTCTGCCTTCTGCTATGATTTGAAAAGCACCAATCCATGAGATTGCCGTTGATCTGCACCCCCGAAACAAAATGTGATATCTGTCAGCTGAAAGCCTCACACTGTCACTGTAAATGTAATAATGTTCTCATCATGTTCCTTTCATGCAAAGTTAACATGTCGATTTACTGCTAGATTAAGCTGTCTTATAGCAGGTGTGTGTGTGTGTGTGTGTGTGTGTGTGTGTGTGTGAGGGAGAGAGCGAGAGAGAGAGCAGAGTTTTGGTGCCCCCCTGTGTTAACGGTAGGAAAATATAGTTTGAACAGTCGTCACTGCTGATGCTCAGTGGGGGCGACTCTCACGCTGCAGATGGACATTGACAGAGAGGAACAATACAAATAAAAACCTAAGAGCAATAATGACTATTCTTAAGAAAAAAAAGCAGGACTGCATAAGAAATTTAAATAAGTTAACAAAACAATGGTCAGGATCACTTTGTGTCTACAGATTTCTAATTATATATAGATCGGATAAACAAATGAATTGATTTGGCCTCAAATGTATACCTTAACTATCTCGGTGAATTCCTGCAGCGGTGAAAAAACAAACCCATTTACACCCTTGCTGTCTGACCTCAGACAAAATGATTGCCCATTAAAAAGAGATTACGCAGATGTTTTTGTAATCTGTCTCTGTAGAAGCTTTATTTTACATGTTAACATCTTCTACTGCCTGAAACACAGGCACAGTCACAACCCGAGTTCTAGAGTGATCCACAGCCCTGTGCAGCTTATGTCTACTGTTTGTACTGAAGATTTAATGTAAAACCACCTAGGATGTACGAAACAGCATTCTCATGTCTGCTTATAAAGGAGAAGAAGAAGAAGATAAAGAAGAAGAAGAAAGTGCTTTATGTATCCTTCATTGCATATTAACATAAATGTCCACTAACTCACAGATAACTATCACAGAATAACCCAATGTCTATGCACTGTAGAACCATTATACATAATAAAACAACATAGGCAACAAGAAGGCTAGAGAAGTAAAAATGAGACAAAGATGACTACTCCCATTACTGAAGTACTTTGATACGACAGGAGACTGTTTGTGAGTTTAAAGAGGCTTTTTAATTATTATTTACTGGCTTATAATATATATATAATATATTGGATTGGGATGGATAGATTTTGGCCCTGGAGATGTTTCACGTTGACTTAACTCAATGCAGCATTGTGGTTAAATGAATACCGTGTGCTTTGGAGCTGCTGTGCAGCAGACACGTAATGTACCCCTCCGTGCATTACGGACCGTACGTGTGGAGCTCCCAGCAGTGCATCTTCTCAGACTGCAGCCACAGAGCAGCGGTGGCAGCGCGCCTGCGCAGTGCATCCAGGGGCTCGGCGGCGTTCGGTGCTGAAGTGGGGCGGATGGCAGAAAAAACAGCGGCGATGGACATTTCACCGCAGGATTCCCATTTACGATGTCGTTAAATGAGCATCGGGACATCGCGTTCGTGAACCCATCACCCCAGGACACTGACAGCCCGACACAAAGGGGTAAGCTGCTGATTATTCTGCGCTAATGCTCCACACGGGCTGGCTAGCTGACGTTAGCACGGCGCTAGCTGCTGCTCAGCTGCCACCTCCTCCTCCTCCTCCTCCCGCTGCAGAGAGATAGCGGATCTCGGGCTGTTTGCTAAAGCTAGCAAGTAGAAAGTGGGTGGTGTTTGATTTCTGGAAGACAAAAAAAAGAAATTCGGTGCGACAGTGTGCGCTGTGCAGCCCACTCTCTCTCTCTCTAATCGGTTTATCACTCCGTGGTGTCAGCTGGGAGGGGGATCTCCTCTCTCCTACGGCCGGTCGGACCTGCAGCGCGGCTGGGCTCAGATGGTTCGGACAGCTGCAGGGGGGGGGGGGACCATGCACAACACCCCAGCCCGAGCAGCTAGCCAGCAGAGCTAGTGCACAGAGGGGGAGACCAGGGTCCGATGAGCTTACTTGTTATCTGGAGTATATGCACAGGCCTGCAGGCAGATGCAACAGACCCAGTGCTGCGACAGCTCAAGTCCAATGCATCCACCGTCAACTATCTTCTTATAAAAACTTATTTTTGACCTTTTTTTTGTTCCTCCACTGTCATGCACTGGAAAGAGCTCGTGTCCTGCACAGCTGAGGGAGCACCCACTCTGCAGTCTCCCATGGGTGTGTTGAGTCAGAGGAGGATGACCCTGAGGAAGGCCACAGACGCGTTGCTCTGACAATAAAGTTGCTCTTTATCGTACAAGTGCTGCTGGAGTTTAGACCTCATCAGTGGGAAGACTTCCCGATACTTATCATCCAGTTTTTACTCTTCAATCAGAGAAGTTTTAGACAATACCAGCTGTCTTATCAGCACATTTGAGATTTAAGAAGAGGAAGATGTAAACTTCAGTTAACCAAGATGACTTCCTGGTTGTTCTCTCAGAGTCAACATGGCTAGAGTGCGTATTTCTTTGATGTTATGTGATGTGGAGTCTGGCCGACACCGCCATCAACAGCATGATTTACCTTTAATTAGATTCTAAACCGTTTTCTGGTTCATTCTAGGGCTGCGAATAACAGTTACTTTCATTATTGGGTAATTAGCCGGTTGTCGCCTGTTTAGGGTGATGGATGGCCAAGAGTGAAAAATCATCATCCCAGGTTCAAAGGAGACGTCTTCAAATGTCTTATTCTGTCTGAGGAACGGTCCAAAACCACAAAAAATGCCAGTTTTACAGCAGATCAAGTCAGCAAACGTTCACAGTGGAGAAGCTTATTTCAGCTCTAGCTCAGCGTGTTACTAAAGAGACTCTGTGGCCATCTTCCTCCTGGGAACATGCAGTTGAAACTCTCACAAGTACAACTCAAGAGCCTTATCTTTGCACACAGCTCTGCGAAATCATTCTTCATAGACTTTTAATGTACAAGGGGAAGTTTTGTTTCCAAACTTATTGACGCCTCTCTCGCTAAGGGAATGTGTTTTGTTTTTTTTTACGTCTTTTACTTGCTGATTTTACTCACTAAGTTTGCAGCAGACTGGTGATAGCTCGCAACATAAAGAGTCTCCAGTGTTGAGGTCCAACATGTGAACACTTCCGCTGTTATGAGGAAGCGAGTTGTTTGAACAGTGATTCCTGTATGAAAACATGCGGCATGAGAGCGACCCAGGAAGCTCCGTCACCTTCAGGCTGTTAGTCGGCTTCCGTCAGAGACAGAATCCAGCTAACGGCTTCTGACTGTGATCGAGTGTCGGGCAGTGACGCCACCGATGAGCTCGATCCTTTTTCGTGAGGAGTGTTGAAGCTACATGTGACGATGATGATGATTGATGATGCATTTGGTTTATTTCTTGATATTTTCGTCTTGTTTTGACCACACCCCATATCACAGACATGCCGGTGTATCGGTGCACATGTCGGGTCATCATAAAGACGTGTTTGAGGTAGTTTAGAAACATTTTAGGGCTTCAACAAATTATTGCTGCCAATACTGATAACATCTTCAAATATAGGATATTACATTTGTTATGACAAAACAGAAAAGCACCAAATACTCACATTTTGACAAGCAGGAAACAAAAGAGAAATAACTATTTATTTTTGTCGAACGAAATCAGCTAATCGTTTCAGGTCTTAAACAGTGTGACCATGACATAATGTGTCCACCAGAGAGCACTACCAAGTTTATTTTTCAACTTTTAAGTAACGTCCATCTGGTCACAAAACAAATTTAACAGATTCTTATCAAATGCGCTCATGTTAATTATATTGATATCAGCCGATAGAGCCGATATTCGATCATACGTCTGCAGTGACGGAGTACGAAGTGAATTTAAAACCAGGTCCTGCTCTCGCTGCAGCATTTGCCAGTGTGTCATTACGTAAGCAGCACATATATTTCCGCACTGTTTGCAACAAAAAAAATAATGGATGATAAAAATGTTGACCGTTTTGCCCCGTTTGCTCTTCAGATGCTGTACCTTCGCTGCTCCCTGCACTCTCAAGTCCATCAATGACCCTTTCACCGAGATCCGAGGAAGCCTAGGCGGGGGGACGGCGAGTGAAGCAAAAGAGGAGCGGTAAAATAAGGAAGCAAGGAGAGGAAGTAGTTGCATTTCATATCCGTTCTCGTGTCCCATTTTTGTGCGAGCCCATCAGGGATGGTGAGACCAGTAACCTCTCTTTCCAGCGAGCCCAACAGCCGGTCCGATAGCCACGCAGACGCCCAGACAGTCCACAAGTCGGTCACTCCGTCAACAAGCCTGCCATCCTCCAGCAACCTATTACCTCACGCCATGACTTCTCTGTCTGACCTGTTTTTAGGAACTCGCTAATTCATGGTAAGTTTGACTTCTGTCCAGTATGATTGTGATGCTTTATTGGTATTAAGCTGATACCTGAGGGAGACATTGGAGCTCCACGAGCACGTCGCTTGAATGAGACGTTATAATCACCTCTTTGTGTTTTAAAGGGTTTCAGATCCAGACAAAGAAGAAAAAAACGTTTGATGAAGAGTTGGTTTAAATATCCTCAATGAGGCGCAACATGTCTCCAAAGTACAAATGAGTGTGTTCAATCTGGTGTGACCAGTTTGTGATGGAGTTTTTGCAGAACAAACAACATTTCTTTAGCGTAGTTATTCCAGCCCAGAGCTTTTATACTCCCAATACAGCCCAACTTATTGTGTGTGTGTGTGTGTGTGTGTGTGTGTGTGTGTATATGTATATGTATATGTATATGTATATATCACTGTCTGTATGTATGTATATTTCAGCTATATAAGCTATCGGCATAAGCTATGCCTTTAATTTTGTAATTATTATGATCAAGATGATATGGAATGTTGCTAATAAACCGAACAAAGGGAGAAAATAGAAACCCACCGGGTCCTTTGTATTATTCGATAGGGAGACACAATCATTTTTTAGATTTCCACTTCTTGTCTGTGAAAGGAAGGCAAGACATAAATATCTGTTTAACTGGTAAAACGTGTGAAGAGGCAGGTTTGGGTATAAAACTTCCACATGATCGACTCACGCGCACGGTTACAAAGATGCATCGCTGAATAATCCTCTTTTGCAAAGTCCTCTCAGTTCTGTCTTCCTCTTTGGCCAGGAGTCCTGCTCACTGAGAGTATCAATGAATGTTCCACCGAGCTTCCTTAATTGAAAAAAAAACTACATTTTGTGACGACACAGTGTTGTTGGATTTGGCGGTTTTCTGCCCAATTTGGCTTCTTTTTGTACCATTCGGGCGGATTCCACCTACCGCTCCGCCGAGGGACTCTGTACTTAATGTTCACTGTGCATTGTTCCTGTCCAAATACAGAAACGTGTAAACAAAACTTCCGGTTATATTCCAATAAATCTGTACCTCCTCTACAACTTCCCTCCCGGGCTGAAAGTTAACAACAATTCTACTTTGATGACGACCTGCTGGTGTCCGTGATGTATGCGAAACGATACTATGAGATGTTTATCCTGCGTGTCGATACTCCTGATGTTATTTAGGGCTCATCTCTTAGCTAATGACGTGACGGTGAAGTAAGGTGGAGGCCTCAAAGTACGCTGGATGATTGGATGAACACACAAACAGCTAAGGGGATTATACAAAATAAGACAAAAGCAATCTGAGGAGTATCACGTAGGTTTAGACGGATGGGTATGAGAGTCAAAATGGAGGATTTTGCCTCCTGAAGCAATTTTGAATTGTGTCTAAATTAACAAAATGAGAGGGGGGTCATCTGACTAAAACCTTTTGCATTTCTGGCAGATCTTGTAGCTCTCTTTTTTTTTTGGTCATCTCTTCTTTTTTTTCATCACATCTGGGTTTATTTGTATTTCCGCTCTATATTTGCATGTCGTGTCAATGCGGCCTCTTTCTCTCCGGGTTTAGAACAAAGCCGTGCCCTCGCTGTCGTTTGCATCTAGCTGCCTGTTTTTCCACAGATGCTGTGTGGTCGGCTGAATAACTGATGGCCACTCCAACAACATTTGCATATCAGGCAGGTCACCTCAGCCTTAACTGCTATGCACTGTATCATCGTTGTAGTAAATGGCATCTGCGTATGCAGAGTGGAGGGAGCGAGAGCGAGAGAGAGAAGGCTCCCCTGTTGCTACTGGAGCGCACTCGTTTTTTATTTGGATTTTTAAGTGTCTAATGAGGAGTTTAATTTGAGCCATGGCTTTGCAGGTAAGAGTTTGTGGACTGCAGTTCATTCGTGCTTATTTCACGTTACACCGCCTGGTCAAATTAGGCTTAAACGCCTCAGATTGTGGAGTGGAGTCTGTGGTCATTATCTCCTCTATCTGGTAACCGGAGAAGAATTCATTCAATCTCCGTAGTGTTTCCTGGTGTAGATTTTGGCTGTTATAGTTATAGCGAGGTAAAGGTTTTCCCGGGCCTATTTAGCGCATTAAAAGCCAGCCAAGTGTTATCTTCTGCTTGGAGGAAGGTGAAAAGGAGCATTATTAGACTGTCTGTTATTATCTCTGACATTAGAGTAAGTTCTTAAAGAGTGTGGTATTTCTATTTTGAGTAGCCTAAAGGGTTCGATCGGTGGTTTGTATGGTTATTGTGTGACTTTGGTGAATCCAAACTAACTCTTTTACCAAAAGTCACAAAACATAATTTTTCTCATACAGTCTTTCTTAATATGCCTGTATTCATCCTCTGTCTGAACATCTCCGTTCTAGTCTCTTTAAGCCCCTCCTCCAGAGAAAATCCCAGTCTGCTCTGATTGGCTTGTAAGAAAACTATGGTGCACCTTCGCAAAGGTAGTTCTCAAGCCGTGGGTGGAGATACTCTGATGGTGGTATATTCTATGTGTCCCCTTTAAGTTGTTGTTGTCCCTGCTTTCATCCTCATCTCCTGCCTGTGCAAAGGATGTTGCACATTCTAAGGCAACGGCGGGTTAATATGAGTGTGTGTGCGTGAATTTGTGCGTATTCATTGCAAACACTGCGAGTGTGATTTGTCGACCCCGTTTCTTCGTCGGTGTCTGCGGACGTTGAAATGAATGTGTAGTGTCTGTCAAAGCCAAGAGAAAGACGTGGCTCAATGCCAGAAACCCTCGAACCGTACAAGGAAGGGAATCCTCTCGGTCCTGCTCTCTCTCTCGCTTCATCTCTCTTTCACTCACACACACACTCACAGTTCCTTTTATTTCCCCCCCCCTCTAATAAGACATATTGCTAGCGAGGCCAAAAGTAAAACATGGGGTCCAAATTTGAAACTGCACTCTCTGCGTATATTATTATTTATTTGAAGGGTTTTAAACAGTGTTATTTGTCTTTGTGTGTCCGTTGTGAAGCCCCGGAGTGTGAGTGGAGTGGAGATGAGAAAAAGGCAGGCGGCGCACATCGAGGCCCCACCCCAGGCCCCCGGACAGCCCCGACCCAACACCTGCTGCCTCTGCTGGTGCGGCTGCTGCAAGTGTCTCTGGTAAGAAAACACTATACTATACTATAGTGTACTATACTTACTATACTATACTATAACGCCTGTTTCTGCAGAGTCTGATAACACCCACTTTTGTTTAGTTTTTCATTATTTGGTATTTCAGGTAGACTTTGGCTCAGGATGAGAAAACTGTATTTAAAGCCGCTAATAGTCCAAATTTTTATAGATTATTTGCATAAATGAATGTTCATTTTGCCCATTGATGACTACAGTGTAGCCTCTTAATGAAGAGTTTTAGACAAAACAAGGGCTTGCAGGCTGTCGTCTGGTGACTTTCAGCAAGTTGTTTTGCAGCCAGTAACTTTTTTTTAAGACTTGGCAAAGATGCTTGTGATGCAATAACTGCAGTTAATCTGATGCTGCCTTTTAAAATAGAGTGGATGCTTAGAAGGAGGAGTAAAAGTACAAAAATGTCACCACCCGGGCAAAGCAATGTCTGAATTGACCTTATTTTATCATAAGAATCATAGCGATAGGTTGTCAGTATACACATTTAAGTGTCCTCGTCGGTTGACACAGAATATTGCATTTATAGGTACTTTTTTTTTAATAAGATGGATCTTAGTATTTTACTTTACATCTTGTTAGTTGCATTAGGAAACAAAAAATGACCCCATGTGCCTGAAACAACTAACAGTTGGTCCTGTTATCTAATCTGTGATGTTGCACTGATGTTGAATTCCCTATGAATCCATCAGAATAAAGACGGACTTTATTCTGACACAACACTGGAACCTGAGTGCTGGGAGCCAATAACACTTTCAACAAACCAACTCTTCTAGAGTTGAACAGTTTAATTAATAATTATATCGGCCAAAATCACAGATTTGGCTCAAAGGGCTTCCTTTGTCTGTGGACCATCGGTTCAGATTAGGACATCATCTCATCTGATCACCTGACCCATCACCTGAATCCAGATATTTAAACAAGATGTATTCTTTGTATACCACTGTTTGTTGTTTTAGTGTGTTTTCCTGTCTCACTTTGGTGATGGACAATGTTGGGATAGTGTAAAATTCTCAGTCATTGTTTACCATCGACCCTTTGGATTTAGAGCCTGCAGGTTTAAAAGGCTCTAAATCCAAGAGCCTAGAACCAGGTTCTAGGCTCTTGGCATTTAACTGCCAAGAACCAGGTTTTTGGCAGTTAAATGCAGGAAAACAGCTCCGGCACGGTCAGCTCGTCTGTGGTAAAGGTGTGTTTGAAAGGTAATTGCGTATAGTGTACGGGATGGTTTTATTCGTTCGCTGTTGGTGTTTTTGTGTACTGGTTGCCGTTCTCCTTTACTGTATATCAACAATACTGAAGCACACAGGCTCTGTGACGTTCATCTTTAAGTGAAATGTTTCCTTGGTTGCATAACGCATAAAAGGTGGTGGTGGCAGCAGCAGCGGTCGGGTGTTTGTTGATGTTTTACGGTTAACTTCCGGCACTCACTGGCCGTGTTTCCATTCACATCTATTCACATTTGAAGTATTGGATTAGAAAAGCTTTATGGAAACAGAAAAGGTAGAGAGAACTTCCTCAATTGTGAAAATGAGTTTTTAGGCTCGCTTGAGAAAAAGAGTTGATGCGTTAAATAGATTATGGAATCTTTACCGAACATATTCTGACGTAGCAAACATTCAACTCCAATGACTGATCAGCCGTCTTTGCTGTTGGAATCTTCTCTGATTTTCCCAAAACATGTGAATGCTTTACTTTGAACACGGACCCAACTGAAAAAGAAATCCTGAAGATCTCTCTCCATCTTTCTCTTGTAGATGAGTTAAATGGCCGATCTGATTTTTGTTTCTGGTTTGCAAACTCTACGTCTTCTGCTCTGTTTGCTGGTTGGATTACGGCTACACAGTGGGTGTGTAGCAGGAAGTGCCAAGCTCTAAACAAACTAAGTTGTAGCCGAGTTTATTTGCGCCAAACCAGTCGATGGAAACGAGCCTGCTTCACATTTATTTGCTTAAAATTTGTTTAACAATTGAATAGAAGGATGGCAAGAAAAGTGGCTGTTAGTCCTTCTAAAGCTGAAAGAATTAGATAATTGATCAATTAGTGGATTGACAAAATATTGATCTGTAACAATTTAGCAAATATTTCTTCAGCAAAATTCCAAAAATGCTGCAGTTAAAGCTTCTAAAAATATGAATATTTGATGTTTTTCATTGTAAACTCAATATCTTTGGCGTTTGGAAGCAAAACAAGCAATTTAGATATGTCAGTTTGGGTTTCGGGAAGTTATGGTTGGCATTTTGTGACATTTTTGTAACATTTTAGAAAGCAAACAATTTGTTGATTAATCTAGAAAATAGTGGGAGGATTGATTTAGTTGCATCTTTTTAATTCCTGAAATTAGAGAGAAAAGAAAACACAACCCACACAAATAAAAATGTCTCAGTGTGCTCATACTTACAGGTTACACAACTTGCACTTACTGCCCCTGAGCAAGGCACCAAAACCAGTAACTGCTGCGTAGCTCCGGCCGCAGACTCGCTGCGGCTTCACTCTTGCCTGGGAGAGAAGAGTGAATGAAACATTGTTTTCAGGCAGTGAATGGTGAATGTGCTGCTCCTTTCACACCACTTCATCTGAAGTGGTGGCAGCTTGTGGACTGGGCCCCTGTAGTGAGCGCTCTGTGTGAGTCCGCTGGGTGTTTCTCAATCAAATGCTGGTGTCAGATATCCATGGAGCGATCCTGGAAATCTATCTTCAGTACCCGACATGTTTGTTTATTTTAGCGTTAAGGTTCGGAGGGACGATTTCCCTTTTTTTTCACGGAACAAATATTCTTCCATTAAAAAAAATGTATCAAGACACCCTGAGACTTCCCACGTTGTTCTTACGCTGTTGGCATAGACGGCTGTCTAAATCACACAAATATCCAGCTGTAGATATGTTTTTGAACTTGTTAATCGTATCTATATTGATTAACAAGTTCATCAATGCATGGGCCGACAGCACTTTTCTTCCCATGGAGCAGACATGAAATCTATTTTGGTTCAGTAAATGTCTGCTGTCAGTCAGCCCGGTGAAGGAGTCCGTGTGGACTGGATGACAGAGCGCTGGACCGATGTGAAGGTCCCGGGACGGAGGATGTCGTATGTCTACAGATTGTGAAACCCTCTGAGGCAAATTTGTGATTTTGGGTTACACAACATAAATTGAATTGGATTGAATTACGTGCTGCTCAGGTCTCTCTCCCAGTGGGAATTCCCAGTAAAATGTTACATTTCATTTTCATTTAATGAAAGTGACATTGTTTGACTCCCATCATGCGGTGCATTCAGTGCGCATGAGGCAGACAGCTGCAGTAGTGCTGTAATGTTTTCATAATCAACACAACTATTCTAATACATTTGTGTTTGTGTGTGTGTGTGTGTGTGTGTGTGTGTGTGTGTGTAACATTATATATTATTACTTTTTTCAACATTGTGCAATATGATGTTCAATATATCACGTGCAATATAATACATTTTGTTACTTTTCATTATCATTGACAATATTACCCTCAACATCATGCAGAAAGTTTTTATTGATCTATTTTTAAATTCAATTTTTTTTACTTGTTCTTAATCGTTGTCATTTACTTTTTCTATATATTTTACGATATCTACCTCCCTCTTATTGCTACTCTATATCTTTTAAATTCCGTTTCAATCTTTGATCAAACTCAATAATTTCCTTCTGGATTAATAAAGTTGTATCTTATTTTATCATATTTGAATTTAGAATATTAGTCGACAGCCCTAAAGGGTCACAGCACACTGTTATGTTTTTAATCCATCCTCTCTTTCTCTCTACTTTCTAGCCCCTCCTCATCCGCCCTCACACAAGGCCCTTATCTAGTTGGGGTGCCTCCTATTTCCATCCACACATCACATGCAAAGCAGCTGTGAAGAACAGCCTGTATATTGAGCTGTATTGTGAGGGAGCCCGCGGGCTGTGGCTAGCTTAGCTTATTGCTACCGCACAATGGGGACTTTGACAAGAGACAGCGAGAGGAAGGAAAGAGCCTCCATGGTGCGACAAAAATAGACGGCTCAGAGTGTGTTGCATTGTGGACACTCGGCATGTGTGACTGAGCTGCGATAGACAGAGAGGCTACTGGGTGTGTTTCAAGTGTTTATGTACATAAAGGTTTTCACTGATTGGACTCTGAGGGTGACGCTTCAAGCTCACACTGATGCTTCCGAGTTCTATTGATGGCTGTAAGAGAGGAACTCTGTATCTTTGATTAATCAATCTATAGATTCAGCAGAGATTAGTGCACACAGGTCTTTGGATTAAAAACCTTGTTAAATAGTGCTGACTTGAGCCCCCCGTGACAGGCTGCATATGGTACTCCAACAGAAGTGCAGGTCGAGATATCTTCACTTTTAGTTGTAAGGATGGGTCAAACTCTCGATGAAACAAACCTTGTTAGCCCTGACGCTTACTAATAATGATCTTGTTGATTGGCTCTGGATGTCCTCAGTGAGGATGCTTTTTATTTTCTTTCTTTGGTGGTAACAGAGGATGGTGAATGCTGATTTGCATGGTGAGAAATTAGCGATAAAAAAATCACGCTGTATCTTTTAGAAGTGATATATTTATCACAGTCAATGTGTTGTTGCAGCCTTAATTCTACATGAATATAGACAACAACCTTATGTATGTAAGATGTAATTGTGATCTTACAGGAACTCTCCAGCAACAAGTTAATTTAATAATAACTCAAACTCATCCATTTAAAGTGCCAGAAACAAGTCCAGACTTTTGTTTTGGCGAGCACAAACATTTCTTGTCTCCTTTTTCAGGAACGAAGACAGGATTGAGAGGAGTGAACGACAGACCTGCACCAAGATGGACAGTATTGAAGCTGGAGAAGAACAGTAAGTCCAGCCATCATCCCTCCTTACATGTTTGTGTCAGTATGACTGTGTGTCAGTCTTCATTTTTTTATTGCCCGACTGTAGACACCCCAGTCTAGACGAGGTGCTGTCGTGGGCACGGAGCTTTGAGATGATGCTGCGCTCGCTGGAGGGCCGGGAGGTCTTCCGGGAGTTCCTGCGCTCGGAGTACAGCGAGGACAACCTGCTTTTCTGGTTGGCCTGCGAGGAGCTGAAAAAGGAGACGGATCCCACAGTGGTGGAGGAGAAGTCCAGGATCATATACGAAGACTACGTGTCCATATTGTCACCCAAGGAGGTACCGGCTGTATTTGTGTTGAACAAGCAGAAGTGAGCCACCGCTGCCATGCCGGTGACATGGCTCCAGAGACGGCAATGGCAGCGTGTTGTTCGGCCCGTCCACCACTTTGGTTGAGACTGAAATATAGTTTTGCTATAAAATACGGTACGGACGTTCATACAGACATTCATAGTCTGCACACGATGAATCCTAATGACCTTCCATGTAGAAAGTCAAGCAAAGTCAAAGCAAGCAACTAATATTCCTGTATGGACATAAATACTTCTGCTCAGTGTATTTCACTGATGTTGCAGCCAGTACTTCTTGCAGAACTTGTTGTTGTTGTTTTACCCTGTGAGTAAATCTCCCTGCTGTAACTTTAATGCTATAGCAAATTACCTCCGCTAATTAAATCCACGCTGTACTTTATAACCGCCGTGGTTATGTCGAAGCATGCGACTAATACGGCTATTTGGAAATTACCTCTTTTAAGTGTATTTCACCGATGTTTCTGACCGCGAGTAATCCCGACTTTTTCAGGTTTAGTGGTTTAGGATTTAGTGATTTAGGAGCCCAGAGGCAAACACTGCCTAGCTTTACTTTTTACCCGTTCTCTAACTGGGAACATAACCTTTCATATCTAAACGTCATAATATGTCTATAGCTGTTTGGGGCCTTTTTAGTTGGAAGGCCACAGACCCAGGTTGCCCCCGTTTTGTTTCCCCGTGAACCAGAGTGTATTTCACCGGTGTTTCCTACTGAGTTGCCGCGACTTGGGTGTGACGCAACTATGTCATGGCAGGTGTATTGCTGAGAAACAAAGGGAACGTGGGTGCAAAGTTGTTTTTGTGAGCCGTTCTCAACAAAGCTGTAAGCAGCAACACCACAGGTCAACCATGTCATTTTTGAGCATGTCAGCATGCTAACGTTAGCAGTTTGCTAAAGCACAGCCCCACACAGCTGCTAGCATGGCTGTGTCATGTATTAATGAAGCCACTGGTAGCCTCTTAAAAACATCAAATTTGTTTTCCTCTTCCCAGGTGAGTCTGGACTCGCGGGTCAGAGAAGGAATAAACCAGACCCTGACGGAGCCCAGCAACCTGATGTACGAGGAGGCCCAGTTCCAGATCTACACCCTGATGCACCGCGATTCCTTCCCACGTTTCCTCAATTCCTCCGTTTACAGAGACCTCCTGGCCAACATGAGGCGCACCTGCCTCGACACCTAGACTCCTCCACCCTCCCTCATCGCTATCGTACGCCAACGAGACTACTACTTAAACTTCAAATACTACTATGGTGCCAGAAGTCGGGTTTGGAAAATCTCTCCCTGTTTTTTGATTGAAAAGACTGAATGACATCCAAGATAGCTGGTTGTTTTTTTTATTTATATTTTTTAAGCAATTTATATCCAGTTCTCCACTGGAGCCAGGTCGGCCTTCGCTGGTTGGTTATTGGTCAATTTAAGACCATTAATGCTGGCCGGTGATTGTTTTGCTAGCAATTTGTGCTGTTTGTTGCGGTTGACTGGCCAACCCACTTGTCAGCTGTCGGTTGAAATGGCCAACCTGATGGCCAGCTGCTGGTTAACTGTGGACAAGGACTCCTCAGTCGGTGGGGACAGAGAGAGAGAGAGAGACGGAAAGGACAAGCCAACTGTTCCTGTACTGTAATATTTAGACCTCATGCTTTCTTCTCTCACTTTTAATATTCTCTCTCTCGTACTCATTCTTTTGTTTTTCTAATTCTGTCCCATTCCTCAGATGTGTACAATTTTGTTTTTAATTTCTTTACTGTCCAAACATGACACCTAGTTGGTGGTGGTAGTGGCGTCTCTGCCCCGTTTAACCAGTTAGAAGCACTGGTTCTGCATGTAACTCTCTCTCTCTCTCTCTCTCTCTCTCTCTCTCTCTCAACAGTAGCTTGACGATGTAAGCCGCGGACTGCAACCGTTTTTGAATATTGAGATGTATTAAGACAGGGGACCTGTCTCTCTGTCTGGATGTCTACATTCAGTGAAGGGAAAAAAAAACTACACTTCTGCCAATTTTAAGCTTACTGCAGTTTTTTATTGAGGAGATTTGATGGCTTCTGCAGCAAAAGGCAGCAGCACCTATTCATTCATCCATCCGTCCACCTGTCCATCCATCCATCCATCCGTCCGTCCAAGCACTTTCCTTCTTTAGGATTCTTTAACTGGGAGAAGTAAGGGCTAGAATTGTGGTTGGGCAGCTACATGTATTATTACTACCCATGAACTTTAGACAAAAAATCTCTCCACTGAGAAAATCACAATGCCTTTACGTGTAAGAAAATGCAGACCAAGCGCTGCTGGAGTTTTTCTGGAAGGCAACCACAGTTTGTCCAACGATCCCTACCTCCCGTCTTTTTTCCCTCCCTCCGTCCTCCTCCCTCCAACTCAGACCATCACAAGCACAGGTGCCCCATGTGGGGGGGGAAACACACACCGCTGACTCCAAATAGTCATCTACATTTTGAAATTCTTGCGCAGAAAAAGAGGGTTTACCTTTTAGTGTTTTATGAAAAGCTGGTTCTACTCGGAGAACATAAGAAGATGCAGCAGGCACTGATCTAACTGAAAGGGTTATCAAACCCTGGCTGTTGTCTGTAAGGCATTAGCTTTAGGAATGTAGGTAACATGACGGTCCCTGAAGTTGGACGTGCAGTATCACGTTGCAGCCACGTGACCCGGGTGCCAAACATGATGTCAAAGATGCTGTGAAGAGATATCAGATGTGACTTGTCGCCAGGCTGTAGAGTCTTGGTCTTTATGGTGCATGTGTGTTTCTCCAGCAGATGGAGCTGAGAGAGTGTATGGTAGTCCGTCAGTTAGCTACTGCCCATTAAAAACACAATAATTTTTACCAGAGCTAGTGAAGAGGGTTGGTATAATAATGCTAACCTGCTACCATAATGGGCTAGCTAGTATGCGTAGTCATGCTACATGCTAGCCCGCTCAACAAGGCTAACTAGGTTTCAGCATGCTGTAGGCAAGCAGCCAGCATGCCTGTGCTAGCCATGCTAATCCTCCATCCCACTGCCAGCCCTCACACACTCTGGTTTGTTTTTCTAATCCGACTTTGACAGCATGCGATGATAATGGCTGTGTGTGTGTGTGTGTGTATGGTACAGTTACACACTTAACAGAAAAATGTAGAAAAAAAACTTTAAGGGGTTCTTGCCAAATGTCCCATTAACATTTTTTTAAAAGGACATTCGAGTTTTTGACGATGTGAACATTTGAACTTTGTTCCTGTGGATAGAAAGTGCATGAATGCAGTATATGCTGTTTTGTTTAATTAACTGGGCCTCCAAGTATAATCATTGTGTAACTTGGTGGATAGCTGACCTCTTGGTTTGGTGGCAGTATTAAAGTGTCAATAAAACGGTGCCACTGATAAATACTGATAAATGTAAACATACACGTTGCCATCTCCTTTAACTACCTGAAGTTCACGTGCCAAGTTTGGTCTAGATTAAATTCAAGAGTAGACGGTGCAAGATGTCCAGCAGACTATTGAAGTGCAATTGGATGTAGTTTGTGATTATAGGTTGGAGTCTTTTTGAAGCTGTGTCCCACTATGTTAGATTGGTTTTGAATTGTCAGAAGTTTATCTTATAAATTACTGACCGCAACACCTTTCAGAATACTCAAAATATTGTAATGCCACTGTTGGAGAAACTGGCTACCTCTAGTTAGCATTTGCAAGTTTTTAGGACTTAAATAAGAACACAGATTATTAAATGTATCTTTAAAATCTTTACTAGAGACTCAATGGGAAAAAAGAGTCCATGGGATTTTGAGTTTTCCTCCAGACGTATATTCACTTACAGAGTTAAAATGCCAACTTGATGAAGATGCCATGTCAAAACCAGGTTAGTATATTACTACAAAAGATTGAAGTATTGGTTATAAATTGGTAAAATTGACACTGTAACGTCTAAACCAATAATCAACAACAGTTGCAATGTTCCTTCGTGAAAATATGCTATATTTAATCTTTGGCAATACAGTGCTCGCATCCAGACTACATTAATACCCATAAGGACTCGATTGATAACGCTTAGCTGCTGTAATGAAGAGCCGTGCATGCAGGCACTCGGTTGATCAGAAGCATAAGAACACAGTGTAATCAAACAATTCTGATACGGAAGGATCAGTTGCCAAACGTACTCCTTGGAGCAGTTTTAGATGTTGTATTTGGACAACTTTGTAACTTTTTTTGACTCCGTAGAAGAACGCCTGTCACTCGTAAGGCTCTCCTGCAGACAAATCCCTCTTCTGCACAGTACAGCTATACGTTTCCTTGTTGCTGAGTCCACACGGTTATTAACATGAGAATGTTTCACCAAGAACCAGATAATGAAATCATGGTGCAATTAAACCAAGTTTACATTTATAAATTGTGAGATGTATGTACCTTATTAAATACTCCGTGGGGAGCTAACTGTCCCTAGTGTGAGCAGAGAAGCCAGCAGGTCTCTGCCCAGTGCTGACTCCAAGAGCACTTTACAGGGTTTACAGGGAGGACGGACAGCAGAGACCCAGGTAACGGTGTTTCACAGCGAGGACAGGCGTACGTCCTTTTCCTCTTAATTTATTGTGACTTTTACACAGTGGGGGGAAAAAGTACATGGTTTGTTTATTTTTAATAACTGCATTTCAAATGTAGATTTTTTTATAAGCAATGATGATGATGATGTGAAGTGATGTAGTGTCCATCGCTGGGTTTAGAGTGTTGTCTTTAAATTTCCATGGGTTCCAAGTGAGGTGGTTTCTGAAACGTGGCTGTGGCTTTATTGACGGCAAAAAGGTTGAGAGCTGAAGTGTCCTGATGGAGGGGAGGAGGATTGAGAAGCTTTGGCCTTACTTTCTTTGTATAAAAAAAAAAACAACAACAAACGTCTCTGTAGGCTTTTCACTACCTCTCATGTTGGTTAATTTATTTCACATCTAGTTGTCAATGTACAAGTTGTTTTTAGATCTACTTGAAGCCTAACACTGTAAACAAAAATGTGCACAGAAAAATGACTATGTATATGACCAGAGGGGTTAAAGAGAGCTTGGCCTAGTCAACATTTATGTTTTTGTTTGTATGTATGTTTGGTTTTTAATTGTGCTGAGCTGAACTAGATTTTGCATCTCTATAAAGAATTCAGGAATCCACTGTCTAAGGGCTAATCCCATTTTTGCCTATGCAAATCTGTTACTGTGGGTGAGTTGGGAAAGGGCAAGCTACCGTACCTTTCACTTGTTTTAGATGGACCATGGTTTACAATGCCCTTTGCTGATATTCTTCAATCTTATTCAGCAAAAATGTACGCTTATTTTTGTTTCTAAATATTTAAAATATATATCTATATAGAGAGAGAGATATATAGATATATAACAAGTACTATACAGAGAAAAATAGTATATGCCTTTGTGATGATAAAAAAAGAAACATTGCTGAAAACAAATAAATGTGTTGTCTGACATTATGTGGCTGTGTGCTGGAGTCTTGGTGAGATGATATTATCGATGACTGGAACTCGACTGACTATAAATGTGACTAATTGTCAGTAAAGACTCTTGTTACTCAGGCTACAGCACTTGTAGCTGACCCTGTGCAGTATTTCCAAACTGGGGGGGGGTGGTTATTTATTTAAGGAGCAACTTCATCAAGACTTCCTGAGACAGATATTGTTATCCAGCCCCAGCCTGTGAGGCAAATAAGGTATTCAGGCCACACAGGACTCGTTTTTCACTGTCACATTTAGTCATTTTTAAAACAAGACTATAACTTTTGCTAAACAAAGGCCATCGTTGCCTCCGGTGACAGTGATAAAAAATTTTTTGTGTAAAAGTAGAACAAATAGAGTCATAAAAGTCCCCAAACTGACCCAGTAGGCCTAATGTCATTTAAAGGGCGAGATCTGAGCGGAGTTGGCTAGCATTAGCTAATATTAGCCACCAAAAGCTAGTGGTCACAGACCAAAGTAAGGCAGCAAAGCAAAAACCTATGAGGATATAAGGTGTGTTTTACTGCTTATGAATTCACCTTATCATCTGGAAGAGTAAGCTTTGTTAATTTGTCATTCAAAAGTTGCATAGTCTAACTTTGAAGGGCTGAGTTGGAGTATGTGCACTGTCCATATTGTACGTAAGTCACATTTTAATATCGGTAATCCATTAATGAAATTTAAAAAAAGACACTTCGTGAAATATTTAACATTTTTTAGTGTGGATTTGTAATTGTATGTGTACAACGCCACGTCGTCAGCAAACAACAGCAACTTATTTTTCTATTCTTCAACTTCTTGTTCTTTTTGTAGCCACATCCAGTCAGACGATCACTGTGCTAAAAGAGTAGCGTTGATGAGGAACACAGCAAAAGTGGGCTTACCGTTTTGTTTTTTTAAATACTCAACTAATGCAAGATGTGAGAAAAGTCAGTAATACGTTACTTGTAAGACCATTCACTCAGCTGTTGAGGGCCACTTTTAGCTTTGCGTTGAGGGTTGATGTAGGTCGAATAATTTGTTTTTTTAATTCTTTATAAAAAATTCAGCTCCTGATCCGAGACGGAAATGAGAATCGGAAGGGTTCATGTTGTATAGATTTTTTTTGTCCACAGTTCCTCACAGTGCATCGGGGCTAAAGAAACATAGGTGTATCGACTGATGTTGGTTTGAAACTTAACCTGCTTTGTGTGTTCCCTCAGTTGGATTTGGTGCCTCTTTAAGCTTCACTATAGACCTCAAGATCTCTTTCTGTCTCTCTTCTGTCTTCTCCGTGTCTCACTTTCTCTCTCTGTAACATCACACACACACAACACTGTTAATAGCAGTTGGAGCAGCGACGTTCCTGTTTTACAGCAAAAATGACACTGATGTTTGTTCCTCCTACTGACACCCTCATATTGTCTTTTTTGTACCTCTTCCAGAGGTGTTTGTGCTACTTTAGGAAAGAGATTATATTTGTGCAGGTATACCTGGTTGAAGTTGGTTTCAACAGTTTTAGGCAATCACTTTTCTCTTTATTGATTTAGATGCCTAAGCCTCTTGGTTCTTGTCATGCCGTTGTAGATATCACAGTCGTCGAGAGATGATCGGCAGGTGACGATATAAAGAATTTTACTGTCACTTTATGCGGTGAAAAAAACAAACATTTTTTCTATTCAGCATGCTTTTTGCTAAATAAATGAAATAATTCAGTTATTTGCTATAAACGATACTGTATGAGTATGTATTCAAGTACTGCAGTATGCAGACAATTAAAAATATCAGAAACTCTTTTGAGAGGTTCGTATTTTTCTTCTAGTATGTTTCACTAATATTGACGGTTATGGTTCTTAATTCTTGTTTCGAGTGTCTCATGAATTGCCAGAATGACAAAATTACCCTCTTTGTATTAACAAATATAGACCACGGTTGGTTGTTTCCACATACATGACTTGCAGAGCAATTTTACCAGGACAGTGATAGTGCAGCGGGCTTTTTAATCAAAAGTTTTGTCAGTTTGAGCTCAACTTTTCACTATTTTTCACTGGTTACTCTTGATGACGACTGAGATCTTAATTGTTGTATTTACATCAAGGCAGGTAAAATAATATCCTTGTGCTCACTAAGGGTCAACAAGATAGTGGGGAGTAAAATGTATTATTTATTATTTTGTCACATGAAGCAAATATGACCTCAAGGTTTCAGATTTAAAATGTTGAGATGAGAAAATGACAGTGTGCTGCCAAAGGATCTGATTCGCCCTGAGATGCAGTACTCCCTGAACTGTAGCATTTGAAATTACTTTCCTATCTTATCAGTCCAACATTGATGAAACGTCATCCTCTGTTGTAGAATATCACAGGAGGGACTCGTCCCATCTAGCCTCATTTTACAGGGACGTGAATCTGTAATTAAGACAGAGTTGGTACAAATTCAACAGCACTGAGCATTAAGTCATTTTTTTGGCTACATTGTGAGAAACATTTAATTATGTTGATGTTGGCAATCTGTGCATGATAATACAATACACATGTGACTGTTGACTGTGAGGACAGTAGAATCAAGATTAAAGAAATATTTACACCCAAGTCTTGTTGAGAAAATGTGGATTTGTTTTTTCTTAAAGTCGCATCTTGCTTAACAAATTTACAGCAGCTGTGTAAAATTGTAAAATGCACTTTCCTTAACAAGAGTATGATGAGAAGGTCGATACAACCCTCATATTTGTGCGCTAACTATGAAGCTACAACCAGCAGTCAGTTAGCTTAGCTTAGCTAGGACTAGCTAGCCAAGACTAACGGTGTGAAACCGCAAGCTTGGCTCTGCCCAAATCTAAAGCCCACTGATTTATCTCCTTCACTTAATGCGTACAAAAATACATTGCAAAAACAGCTATTTATTGTTGAATGTGGGTTATTGTGTTAGACTATCTCATAACGGTTCAAAAAAATCGTTTTGCTAAGCTAAGCTAACCGCCTGCTGACTCCATCTTCATATTTATTATACAGACTTGACAGCGGCTTATCATGTAACTTTCCACAAGGAAATGTCACGCTATTCCTTAAAAAAAAAATGTATTCAAAAAAATATATGAGCTACGGAAAATAAGACAACAAAATAAAAAGAATGAAACTGTCCCATGAAGTACAACAATGTGTCTTTGGTGGATAACATGTGCCAAAATTGTAATCTACCTTTGTTTCAATGTGAAAGGGTCAAAGGAGTTGTCTGAATATAAAATCTGTTGTTCTGTTGGACTCAAAATGTTCCTTACGAAACACGTTTTATTTGTCTCTTCGCGTTGCTTTTGTGGGTTTTTGTGTCATCTCTCTGAATCATCCACAATAATCTACTTTCATCGACATGTAACCAACAGACCTGAAGACTTTGTAAACAGGCACTGAACATGTTGAAGCTGTTCACTATTTTTAACATGTTTTGTACTATTTTAATTCATTTTAGAAACAGGTTTATTTCAGCCATTGTTTTTTATTTCTTCCTTTATCTCAAAATACTCAAATTGTTGTTCATCATCCTCTTAACATCGCATAGATCACCGTCACGTTAACAGCGTGTTAAGTTGTGGTACATTTTGATCTACGGTTCAGTCTCTCTCTTTGTTTACACGATCTTGCATTAAGAGAAAACTCCAGTCTATGGTAACTGCCCTTGAATATCTGTAATTTAAATAGTGCTGCTAGAGAAAGAAATCTAAATGTAACAACTTACAATAAATACTCAATAGATTTTTGCCAAATGTGAGTGTGTCTTTCTTTGAATGGAGGTGTGAGAGATGATCAGTATACAACCTGTAGACAGTGTTTGTTAACATTGTACTGTGAGGGTGCATTATTTAATTTTGAGACACTTGCAACTTAAAATAAAAAGGTTTGTGCTCGCTATGAAAAGGAAGGGGTGAAGCTCTATGGATGGCAGTGATGGTCCGTTGTCTGGTCGGTCCTCCACTTTAGTCCAGACTGAAGTATCTCCTCAACTAAGTGATCATTTTGTACAGACATTCATGGTCCCAAGGGGATGAATCCTGCTTACTTTGGACTGAGTTGGGTCATTGGTCCACTTGGACAGGGGAATACTGAAGGGTCATGACAGCAGACTTAAATATTTCTTATCTGAACATTTAATTTAATCACCAGGTATTATAAATAAACATCCTGTGAATAGCCAACTGTTTGATCGAGACTAGGGTGACATTTAGTAGGAGACGACAGTCTGATCCTGCAATATTGTATGGATTTCCTGATCCATACTCAATTCCAGTTGGTGGCGGTAATGCGCCATGAAGTTGTTTCCAACCCCAATTAAATTCGAGAAGAAAAAGAAGCATGCACATTGGGAAAGAAAATGGCGACCTCATGACAGCCAGATAGCTCCTTTGTTGTTTTTGGCTGAAGAAGAAGAAAAATGCAAATAGAGAAAATATAATGTGCAACCGCTTAACGAAAACCATGCAGGTAACACTTCTTCTATGGTGCCCTGAGAAAACGAGTAACAATAAATCATTATCCTAAGTTTACCTCCCATCCTAACACACACATTTAAAACAATATAGACATGACCAGAGGTAGAAAGAAAAGGCAGCCTCATTTAAAAACGTCTTTATTTCATCAACCGGATCCAAGATCATGTTTTCAGACTTGTTTACATTCAGACAACAAGGTGAGACCACATGCTGAGGACAGGAGAAGAGGCAGGTTCGTGTGCATGGGTGTTCCCTCATACAATCCTCTGTATGTTTGTGTATATGTGTAACTTTTCATACAGTCCTCTCTGTATATGGGCACGAGTATGAGCACTCTCATAGTGTGTGTGTTGTCTCTCTCTCAGACAGTCTTTTGTTCAGTCGCCTCTGGGGCTGTTGAGACAGATGCTGAGTCCTCCTGGGTCTCATCTAATCCCTGGCTGCAGCCTCGGTCACCTGACTGCACGCTGTCTTTCAACGTGATGGCGGCGTTGGAGTAGGACGCGTCTATACTCTC